AATAAATCGTTTAACCGAAAACCGTCCGGTTTTGACAGGCGGTTAAACGGAATTGGAGATATCCGTGATGTTACAGCACTATACACAACCTTTCGGATGGCGGACGATGATGCCACCTTTGGATGATTTGCCGAAGGTTTTTTTTACAAACATTACCCTCGAAATTTCATGGATAAAGGGGCACGTTTTCTTAATAGGTTGGGTAATGCCACCCGACCCGTTGGATGACCAGGGGGGTGTTTCACAAAGATCCCAAGTTGAACTTATCTCTAAGTTGGACTTAAAATTTATGGGAAGCCATTAGCATCCTTGAAAATATTTTGTAATTTTTTTTTAGAAGGCATAAAATGTTGATTCAAATCATTCATATTTTCTATTATCATGGGAGATTTCATGTTCTTGATGTGGAATTGATGAAAAGTCTAAAATACTCCAATTTTTGCTTTTGAATATATTTCATTTTAAGGCTCCAATGGCTGTCCATACTTTTTAAGTCCAACTTAGTGTTAAGTTCTACTTAGGATCTTTGTGAAACACTCCCCTGATGATTTGAAGTAAGCCACTAAAAGGGGAGATCACTTTATCATTGTATGTTGTGTCCTAGCAGTAATAATAATAATAATAATGGTATGTTCTTTTATAGCGCATTTCAGGACTGCAGGCCCTCTCAAAGCGCTTTACAGATAAACATGTATATTATTAACCGGTACCCCGGTCATCGGATTCAGGCTTAACTGTACACAATGTATGCACATTCTCCACTCCCTGGCGAGCATTCCAGCCAGGCGTCATTTTTACAAGCGCCCACTTGCTCATAATACCGGGTACCCATTTAATACCTGGGCGGAGAGTGGCATTTCGTAGATCAATGTCTTGCCAAAGGACATTAGTGCCGCGGGGGACTTGAACCGTGGACCCTGTGATCCACAGTCCGGTGACACATCTACTCGACCATGACACCTCTACCTTACACTAGTTTCAATGACACTTTTTTGGGGCTGAATTCCATCAAATATACAGGGTTAGGGTATCACTTGAGTTTTACAAAAGTTTTAGGGTTTGGATTTGGTATTTGTGTTTGATCCATAGTTGACGCTAGGTGTTTGCCAAGGGTAGGATATTGATCGCACAGTAATTTGGGTCATGTGTCATAGAACCTTCCTGTCTTGTCAAGGTCTTTGTCGTTGCTATGGTAACAACTCATTCGTTTGTGAGCCATAAAAATGCATTTGTGTACTTAAAGCCCCACTGCACTGCTTATAGCTACTTGCGCCCTCTATGTAGCATACAATGACTAATCGGTGACCATTGGTCCCCCATGATCGTCTTTTTCTTATGTTAATTGAGAGCTGATTTGATGAGATAACTACCTGTCAGAGACCATGCAGGGAGGTCTAATCCCTCCTGGCCAAACTAGTGCAGTGGGGCTTTAAAACACAGAGTTAATGCCCCTACAGATGAACTGTAGTTACTTTTAGAAGGAATTAATTTATTGGAAATGAAATAACAGAACTCGGTTCTGTGGGAGGAAAGGATTATTTTATGGTTACCACCATTGAAGGTTTTATATGAAGGTTTGATTTGTGACTGACCATTGTTTGTTATTTACAGTGTTTGTTTGTAGCTGTAAGTGGGGCTTGACACTAGCAAGTGCCGGGACACATGGGTGCCAAAAATCTTGGTCCAAAGTCCAAACCTCCCAAATTTCAATTTTGTTTACGGTATATATTTTTTTTTTACACAGAGCTCATACATGTACATACAGATTCTAAAAATCTGAAATCATACTCTTCTCCAAAATAAGTTAGTATTGAGACCTGTTGTAAGCAACTTGTTTCCCTAGCTTACTGTAATATCCTTGCTAAATCTCAATTTGGTGTGGAGTATCACGTACAAGGCACCATAACTTATGAATGGGACTACTGGAACAGTTGGAATTTCCCTCTGGGGGTAAATTAGTGGAAACTGGTGCTTAGTGGTTAGGCTTGATAGATAATGAGCTAAATGGAGATGACGTGCAGATGGACATTGACAGATAATTTTAGTCACCATCTTCAGCTAGCTTGAAGAAATATAAAGTATAAAGGGTTTATATGCTTGCAACCATCACACCTTTTGGTTTATTGTTAAGTTGGTGTGAAGATACACACATATAAAACACCATAACTGATGGATGTGATTGTGCAGATGAGGGAACTCCCTAAGTTAGGGGGAGATGGGGGAATCAGTTCTCTTGGCAGTCAAGCATGAAGAGAAGGAGCTACCGGTATTAAAAATAATCGCATATAAAACACTGTAATTTGTGGATAGTAATGTGCAGAAAGGGGAACTCCCTTTTGGGAAAGGTGGTGAAAATCAGTGCTTTTGTAGGTCGAGCATAAAACAAATCAACAACGACAGAGTATTGTAGTCACCATATTAGTTAGAACTTAGAAGCATAAAAAGAGTTTATGCCTGCAAAAAACAATTTGCTTGAATTTGTTGTCCTCAAGTTGGTGTGTACAAAACACCACCGTAGCTAAATGAATGGGACTAATTGCTGAGGGGGAGAAAGTAGTCCCTCGTGGGGTATAAAAATGGATGTAAAAAGCAGTGCTTTGTTGGCAGCATTCAGTTTCAGTTTCAGTTTCAGTTTCAGTTTCAGCATTAAACGGTAAGGAACTGTAAATACTTGATGAATCAACAACAATATTCATTTGCAATTGCCAACTGGGGACAGCTTTAGCTTGAAGCATTCTGACAAGAAAAGTATTCCCCATAATGCCTTTGGGGTTTATCGTTTGCACTAAAGTCTAAACATAGATAGGCCTACAAGTGGTGTGAAGATCATTACATACTAGACACCATGATGTATGAATGGGACTACAGCAAAGAGAAGGACTCCCTCTTGGGGTTAGGTTGTGGAAGTCGGTCATTTGTGGACGACTTTGATGAATAGAAGGGAGTTTTGCCTGCAGTCAAAGTATGAGGGGGGGGGAATTTCAAATAGCATTTTTGGGGGCCTGCTTTGTTGATTTTTTTCTTCTTCATGCTTTTACAAATTTGAGAATCAAACATTTCTCCTGTCCAAATAATGTTTTGGACTATTTTTAGGGTGACAATTGATGACAACTGTGAAATGTTCAATTGTTTGGATAACTATGTGTTTTGTATTTTGATCTCAGTCCTCAGCAGGAAATCAAATATTTCCTGTTCAGGATGCATAGAAATAACACCTGACCGTCAGCTGGGTATTTATTTAATGTGCATCATATGTCTGAAAAAACACAATATTTTACAAATGTATTTGCATGAGTGACTAATGACATTGAAAAAAATGAGCTCTTTGGTAGAGCTTATGTTTACTGGCAAAATGGCTGATGTGAATGTGCCTTGGGAGTAAATTACAGTGAATGAAATTTTTCTTTGAAGTATGAAATTGTAGGTACCTGTACGTCCATTGTGTTGCAAATTATAATGCCAAGTTTTGTATCATTGGCAAAGGCACATCTGCAAACGAACAAACCAATAAGCATAAAACAAACAAGCACCAAACAGAACAAACAAAAGCAGAAACAAATTTAGACAAATTATTAATTACATTGTGCATCTACACTGTACCTCTAAAATATTATTCAATGAAACTTGTCCTGACCTATTTCCAACTAGTCTATAAACAGATATAGAAAAAATTATAATCAATTTCTAAAATTAGCTGCAATTACAAGCAGAAATTGTTGATTTTTCTCACATTCCAGTGTTTCGTTGGTAGTTGCTAAACAGTTGCTAAGCAACTATCGAGACAAAAAACCAAAGTAAAAAAAATTCACCTCTGGAGTGTGTTTATTTCAAACGCCTGCTGAAATTTCTCAGATTTTTTCCAGTGTAAATGAGAACTTCCGTATGATGCCAGTATTTTGTCGCACAACTCTCTCGCTTCTGCGCGATTGCACGCAGAGTAGCGACAAGTTGGTTTGCGCATTTCTCACAAAAAAATTGTTATGAGCAAACACCATCAGGGGCTTGTCAGAAGTGTAAATGGCAGTCCCCCAAAATCATGATTTTTCAAAATGATGTTGGGCTGAGAAAATTGGCCAATGGTGAATGTAGATTTTGCCGTACATTGGTAATGGATTAAGCTTCTGTAACCCTAAGGTTGTTGGCTTTCACTCTGGTCTTTGGCCTCTTCTAGTACCAGTGAAAGTTTCACCTAGATCGACGATGACAGGGTGAACTTTGGGTGTTTTTGTTGACCATGTCGCTACTACGAACAATCACTTTCTATTTTAGTTCCTCTCCTACAGTTCCTGTTTCTATTTATAGCACAGTGGCACAGTTTCATTATTTTTTGTCCATTTAAAGTTTTTTACAATGCCATGTCATGACAGGGTAACTGTTGATAGTGAAGTTCTTGTGACTACACATTGAACTTTTCAAGGAACAAGATACATTACATTTACATTCAAACCTGTCTTTAATGACCACCTCTCTATAATTTAGGCCATCTGTCTAATGTCTATAATGGCCATGTGTTTTATCTCCAGAGAGAGAGAGAGAGAGAGAAATATGTATTGTAGAACCTGTCTAGAAAGGCCAACTGTCTACAGTGGCCCTTTTTAACATTTTCCTTGGATGATCTTAATAGACAGGTTTGAAGTAAAGAAGAAGAAAAAAAATAGATAAAAAAATCCTTGAAAATATGATAAAATGCTTCTTTTTTTGAAGTAAAGAAAAAAAAATTGACCTTCTGTACGTAATTATGTGGAATAAGTGCAAGTGTATTGTTATTGGAGGCAAAAATAATTAATCTTACTTGTGAAATATTAATTTGTGCCCCCCCCCAAAAAAAAAAAAAAACTAAGAAAAAAAGACTGAACGAATGAATGAATGAAAATGGAAATGAAATAAAATAATAATAAAATAAATAAACAAATCATAATAATCATACAAAGGCTCAATTTTTGTGCTGAGATAACACACACGTATGTTTGCATGTCAACATTTAAGACTGTAACCAAACATTTCTCAATATATTTTCTTGCATTCTTTCTTTCATTTCTGCAGGAGAAGACGTATCATAACTACAACGAGATTCGCTTCATGCCCAATCGGTTCAAAGAATACCTGCTGTCTCAAGAGATCGGCTTTGCAAGCTGTGAAGTCATCGGTACTCCCATCAACAAGTCTAAAGGTTTGGAGTAGAATACAATAGCCAGTTTGAAGTGACTCTGTAACATTGCCTCAGATTCTGAAACTAAAGCCTGGATTTAGCTCATGCTGCAATCATAATTATAAACCTTTAGGTCAGTCAGGAACCCCATGAGTTTTACAACCCAATCTGATTATTAAGATATTTATGACTGGAAATCAAAATTAATTTGATTTTTTCTCACGGTTTTTATTACACTACAGTCTATTGGGGGAAAGGAGTATGGTAAAACCGGTCACTCAAGGATTTTTTTACTTGTTTGAGATACTTCATGATCATTATGAAGCGCAATTTTGTTAGGGCTTCAATATTACACCATATCACAGACACTGATAACAAGTAGGGCCATGCATCTCAGATTTAACATTGTTAAACGATGCCTTTAACATCTTTTATGCCATTTATTTTTATGTTTTAGGTATTTATACAGGGAAATACATTTTCACAAGTAATGGTCCTTCTGTAATTGGCAATCATTTTATGATTCACAAAATTCATCAAAGATTTTATCACTTTATTTTCAAGGATTTCAATCTGAGTTTTGAGATTCCACTTTGACAAACATTGACCGAAATCCGTCAGAACTTTACTCTGAATCTTGCCTAGGTACAGTGCAGTAGATGCATGTCTTCGTGTCTTGAATCTGTGAGAACCTACGAAATACAATCAAGATCACACAAGTTTCGTGAGTACTACTCATGGTGAAAAGCGTTAGCGTCAATATGTACGTCGCGTATTGGACAACATAATGTGCTGTTGTTGCCAAAAGACCTTGCGTTGATTCATCTTTTATTCCCTTTGAATTATGAATTCACCTTAAAGTTGCTCAAGCGTGGATATGTAGAGGGCAGCACATGGCCGTACGCACGGGAGCGTAATACCCATTGGCTCAGTGTTATGAAGTGATCGTTGTTGCCTACTTCACGAATGACTATATACCCAGGCATGAACATTTTTAATATATTTTACATCAAGTTCATGTGGCTAATCTCATTTATCTACAGTCTTTAAGATCCCATCTCAAATGTGTTCTGATCTGTGATAATTTAGTTTCTTAAGATTCCCAGAACTCAATGTTAACTTTATCACTTGTCCTCTTCCATTGTCCTGCAGGTTTTAGACGACCCATGATGATGTTCACCAAGCTCCAGAGCAGCAGTCGTCCAGTCAGCAGAAGACCTTCCACAGAGAGACCGCCTGCAACCGTGACCTCGTCCATTCCTGTGGCTAGTCCCCAACCCCTGATGCAACCAGCTGCAAGCTCTTCTACCACCGCGACACCCAGTGTTGGAGATCAGGCGAGGTCGAAAGTAAAGGACAAACTCCTTGCAGACACCATTCCTACGGCCGCTTCTCAACCCTTGATGAAGCCAGAGGTTAGCTCTTCTGCTGCGGAGACTTCAGGGTTTGGTAAGAAGGTGAGGTCGAAAGTAAAGGAAGAACCCCCTGTAGGAACCATTCCAACAGTCACCACTCAACCCTTGATGAAGTCAGAGGTAAGCTCTTCAGGTATTGGAAAGAAGGCGAAGTCAAATGTAAAGGAAGAACCCTCTGTTCCTGCAGCCGCTCCTCGACCCTTGATGAAGCCGGAGGTAAGCTCTTCTTCTTCTGCAGCAGAGACTTCAGGTATTGTAAAGAAGGTGACGTCGAAAGTGAAGGAAGAACCCTCTGTAGAAACCATTCCTTCAGCAGCTCCTCAATCCTTGATCAAGCCAGTGGTTACCTCTTCTGCTGCTGCAGAGACTCCAGGTATGGGAAAAGAGGTGAGTTCCAGAGTGATGCGGGAGCCAAAAGCGGAACCCATGGCAGATAAGGAGGAGAAGGAGGGGGTAGCTGTTGAGGTGATGGACGCTGCAGAGATCCCGGAGGAAGCAGAAAAGGAAGGTGTTGCCATGACAATCAAGCATGAGGATAACAAGGTTACTGATGACACTACGAGTGATGCAGTTGCTATGGCAACTGTTAAGATTGAAGCAGAGAAGATGGAGGAGAAAGGATCATCATCATCAACCACAACATCATCATCTAGGAAAGACGTGGAAACAAAGAAAGATGACGAGGAGGGCCATAGAAATAAAAAGGATTCTGGGGGTACCACTTAAAAAGTTTTCCAGAAAGAATTTCACAAGACAATCACTCTGAAAGCGGATAGTACAAAAATGACATATCTTACTGTACCTGCACTTTTCTGCATTAAAAAAAAGTTTGCAATTAACAACGGAAATGGATTTGTTTATGATTGAGCGTTCACAATTTTTCCCCCTCTCAAACACCAACTCGTAATAGAAAGTGAGATGAAGCAATTTCTAGCTTGAATTGTCAAATCTTTAAAAAGGTTGTATTTGTTTGTCTTGCCTGTTAAGTGTGAAGAAATTTATCATGGGTTCACATATTCTCAAGGAACTGTTTATGAAATATAGAGAAAAAGAATAAAAACATTTACAGGGGGGGCAGTTTGAGTTGGAAATATCTCTTTTGGCGGTGTGATGACAGAAGTAGTGAAATAGTTTACAAAAAGTCATGCGTCTAGGCTCATATACATGTATCATGTAAGATAAGTACTCACAGAGGTATTAAAGTAAAAATAGAAACAAACATTTTCTGGCTAGATGTGGTCACTTCTGTTTTTAATACATGTAGTTTGGACGTTGATTTCTCATGATCCCCAAACAAAACAATGCCAGGAGGAAAACAACATTTGTCATTGATCTAAGATTGGCACTTTTGCGTCAAACATTTGGAACAATTACAAGAAAGAGGAATCACTCTAATGTTATCTTTCCAGACTCCTTTTTGGTAGCTCGTAGATAGGAAAAATGGAGGAAACAAATCTAACCAATGGACTATATTGTCCTTCCCTTTGCATCTAATTAGATCAAGACTTTAGTTTTAACGCTAGACGTCACGGCACATCCTTGAAGCTTTTCTGCTAGTGTTGATGTGACCACGGTCGTAGTCTTTGCTTTCAGACCTTTTATCACCAGGGCCCCATATCACAAAACTTGTCATCAGTGACAAATGACAGTTTTTTGTTATAAGCTAGTGAAATCCTTGCTTCTGATTGGTTATCAGCAGATTTGTCTCTGATTTTTGTCATTTGTCATTGAAAAAAGGCTTTGTGAAACGTGTCCCAGAAGCAACAGTGGATCAGGTTTATGCAAAGACTGAATTCATTCCTCTAAGGGTAATGTAGCACTTTCATGCATCAAGGTTACTCTTGTTATCTAAAAGAGGAAAAAGAATTTCAATAACATCTTGATTACTTCTGGATTTGCATATTTAAAGCCTGTCTGTACTAGTTTGAACAGGAGGGGTTAGACCACCCAGGGTGGTCACTGACAGGTGGTTATCTCGTCAACTCGGCTCTCAATGAACATAAGAAAAAGGGGACCATGGGGGATCAACAGGTACTGCTAAGGCATTGCAAGTAGCTAGAAGTAGTGCAGTCCTGCTTTAAAGGCTGGTACATTTTATTTTCATCCTGCAGACTTTAATGAGATAAATAGCTCGGCATGATTTACAGGTTGAATGAAACATGACATGAATTGACTTCTTGCAGGAGTTTTTTGTCACAGAGCTAAGGCTGCAGTATTTTGTTTGGTTTTGGCAAATCACTGGATTGAGGGGGGGGGGGGGGGGTTCTTATTAAGTCCATAGTAAATGTTGGATCGCCATAAAGAATTGATATACAAACCCCAGCCGAGATTGTTACAGGTGGTTTATTTTTTCACTCTTTTGATAGGATAGCATTTAGAATTTTTCGAGGCTTGAATCTCAGACTAGCAGAGTAAGAGAGATCATTTGTCAGACAACTTAATGATTGGCCAATTGGGAGATGTAATGATGAGAATAATTGACTCTCACTCCCTCCATGTGCAAGGTGTGGTTACGGACCAGTGTGCTGTTTCTACATAGTCCTGTAATCATCAGCTAGAGTTTGCCAAATAACCCGCTATTTTAACTATCCCGATCGCAAATTAGCCAGTTAATTTGCGTCCTCATCAGCCTGCAGTTGCAATTAGCGGGATATTTGGTCAAGAAAATATCCAGAGGATTCTTGGTCTTTTTTCCAAAATATCCTGCTATTTGGGAAATAGCGGGCTAATTTGTGCCCGTCTAAACTAGCTTGTGATGAGCGTATTGGTCTGGTGAAGACGCAATTTTGAGCTTCGGGATAATATCCCGAGTCTGAAATTAGCGGGTTATTTGTCAAACTCGAGCTGATGAAAACAGGCCTATTGTGGACTTGTTTGATTACAGCATTGTTGCATTTTTATGTGTTCAGACAACCAGTGTGTCTGTACTAGTGGAGGTCTGGACATCAGACTAGCAACATGAATGTTACTGCATGATCCCGTGATATCATTTCACTTTTTTCACAATTTCTCCCCCCCCCCCCCCCCCCCCACTTTTGTTTAAAACAAAAACTTCTTGTTCAATATTAAGTGATAAAGATCTGATCCATGTGACTTTACTCGATCAGGAAGATTAAGTCATCGTCAATCGTTGACTTGAAATCAGATGGCAAATTAGCAAAAGGATTACAATGCCTGACTGTGCACACCATGCAATGCTCAATGGAAGGTCTGAGATACAGACTTGTAAAACATGTTGACTGCTCAGACCAATAATGATCTTGATTTTTACATGAGATTAAGTTTGTCACATATTAATAAAAATCCCTTGTTTTACCAGGGACCTGCCACAACCACTGATTGATAAATACTTCAAAGACTTATCTCCACCTTAGCTGGTTTAGATCTAATTTCTCTCCGTCATTTTTCGTACATTTTGTCTGCTCCTTCGTTGTCTGCACCAAGATGCAGATTGGCGATATGCTAGTCTGCACTCTCAGACTCTAATTTGGTACTTAACGTGAATGACCACATGTCTACAAAGACCACATTTTGTGTTTCCCTTCAAAATGTTTCTCATTGAAACATGTACGAAAGGCACCTGTACTTAAAGACCACCTGCCTATAAAGACCAGTTTTCGTGTCTCCCTTGGGTGGTCTTTATAGACAGCTTTCACTGTACATAGTCTGGAGCCAAGCCTAACTTCTGTCAGTCTCTGGTTCCTTGTCGGGAGCAGCAACAGTACAAGGACTATAGACTACAGCCTCTCTATAGTCTCCAAGCTCAGACCCTCTGTTATGCATTACAACTGACACAGGTTTGTCCCTTAAAGCCTGTCTGCACTAGTTTGGCCAGAAGGGATTAGACCTCCCTGTATGGTCACTGGACAGGTGGTTATCTCATCAAATCAGCTCTCAAAAACATAAGAATAAGGGGATCATGGTGGACCAATGGGTACCGCTTAGGCATTATTTGCTATATACCGTAAATCTCCGTGTATAAGGCGCACTTTTTTGCCGCCGAAAAAATTTGAAAGTCGGGGGTGCGCCTTATACACAGGTACAGAAAAAAAAAGTTTTTTTTTTTTTTTTTTTTTTTTTTTTTTTTTTTTTTTTTTTTTTTTTTTTTTTTTTTTTTTTTTTTTAGTTTCGATTTATGGCGCTATGCCTGGCAATGTCTCCCAGCTCAGTAATCAGTGTGTTGACTCACCACTCGGAAAGTACAACAACACTCAAATTTGTCTATCATCTTGGTTTGAAAGTAATCTTTCTAATAGATCTCAATATGTAGTTTATAATAATAATTCCTCAAATATTTTTTTGTATAGCAAATGGTGTTCCACAAGGTGCACCATTGGTACCATATGTACTCTTTTGTTTTTAATTTACATTAATGATCTTACACACTCTTCTAAAAACGACATTGTTACTATTATTTGTGACAAGTTCACAAGCACAAATCAGCGCCTTCAACTGCACCTCGATGTAAAATGAAGGTCCTTCCCCCCGTGGGTTTTCGGCAACAAAACAACAACCAAAAAAAAAAAAAACTATTTTTTTTTTTTTTTTTTTTTTTTTTTTTTTTTCCTTCCCCAAAATAGGGGTGCGCCTTATACACAGGTGCGCCTTATACACGGAGATTTACGGTAGAGGGCGCAAGTAGTGCAGACAGGCTTTAAAACTAGCAGTCTACAGTTCTCTTAGAGACAACGATCAGGATACTTATGCGGCGTCAAGATTAGGAACTAGACTAGCGCGGCCGGCGGAGTTCATTGTCTGACAATGCTTTGGGTTTTAGTGTGCCACCTCTTAGTTTCCTGTCTGGACCCATGGGAGCTGTGAGCAATAGAGTGTAATGCCCTATTCACATGTGCAGTAGGAGCCAACATCTTTGTGTATGTATGGGACAAGAGTAAATTTTCTGGTTGATAAATGAAAGATCATTGTCTTTATGCTCATGGGAGTTGTTACTAAGCAATAGGCTGGGTAATGAAAACAAGAGTGTAATGCCCTGTTCACATGTACTGTAGGAGCCAGCATCTTTGTTTATGTATGGGACTAGTAAAGCTTGCTGGTTTTTGATAATAAAGCATGTATGTACCAGAGGAATCTTGCCCAATTCAATCCGTCTAAATTTTTGAGGTGCAAAACATTTGTAAGATTCTGTGAACAAGTACACTGCCTCCTCATAAACACAATTGTTTTGACCTGTCTTAATGCCAACAAAACAAAGATCCCTTTTCCCCATGTGCTTTGCCAACAAAGGAAATACAGTCAATCAGTGGGGGAAAGACCTTGAACCCAGAAAGGAGAATGGTGCCAAAAGGTTTGCTTTGACATTTGGACATATAACAATATCTGTACAGGAGATATATGTGTAAAAACTGATTAAGAGATAGAGAGAGAGATAATGGATTTGTTATTTGCTAATTTTTTTGCTGTTATTAATATGAGGAAGCAGTATGGGCCATCTCTCACAGTTAGCAGGAATTCTATTTTCAAAAAGTCCAGGTACTCTTAGACAGTAAACATACAGCGCATTACTGCAGGAGATCTGGAAAATGATTGGTATGGTGTCCCCAAAAATGCACCCAGAAAACAAATGCTGATGGAATTTAACCAATCTGTTTCCCTAGAGGCGCAGAAGCGGAGTTTAGCGGATTTTAGCAGGTTTGTCAAATGTCTGAAAATTGGGCAATGCGTGCAGCAATGCATCATGTCACGTGACCTATTAAACGCTGAAGTACGGATCCGTATCTACAAAATTAGAAGGAGAGCGTATTCAATGAAATTCACCTCTGGAGACAGGTACCCATACCCTATTCTGTAACGTACCGTTATCATCCGATTATCTTTAGCCGCTCCTGACACTGCCAGAGACTGAAAAGTCTAGGCTCTGCTCAAGGTTTTAGGAAATGTGGTAAAGTGTCAAATTAGACTACTTGCTCACAGAGTAGTAGGGGCAGGGGCTTCAGGGGCAGGGGTGACTCCACCACCTTGACAGTCATCACGATCGTTGCAATACAAGTCAGAACCAGGAATTGATAATGCACTTGATGGAGCTCGAAGAGATGTGGAAATGGTATGAAAAAGTCTCCTTATCCCAAACTTTTAATTTCTTTCCTTATTTCCCAAGACTTTTCTAAGAATTCTGTAATATAAGCCCTTAAGATGTATTCTCG